AAGGTCCTTCTTGTTTAGGCAAAAAAGTACTGGGAATGATATTAAAGATCCCAGCCGGTATGTTTTCTAATTCCAGGTAGCAAAATCCACACCTAAAGTCAGAGAAAATGAGAAAAAAGTTTATAGACCATGCCACAAAAAGTATAAATTGGATGTAATCAATATGCCAGTGTTACCTATAATCACCACTAGATTTCCTCTGAAACCCATAGGGAACAGGATCTCCCACCAAAGAAACTGTTACAACCTCGAATCCAACACTATATTGCCTAGAAAAATGAACAGCATTATTAGTAAGCAGATGCAAATAAATACATGATTTAAAATATTTCTAAAGTGCAGATGAACTATCAAGATCAGACAACACTTTCAAAGTTTCAGTAGGAAGAAACAGTACTCTGACACCATGATACTATAACTATATAAAATACCATTTAAGTTCACTGAAGCCATAAAGATCATATTGTGTTAAGCTTCCTTTAAGTCTGTTTTTGCCACAGTTTCCCCAGGGAATAATTTCAAAGATAAAACTGTCATTTAAATTTAAAATTTAACAGATGAAATATTGCCTATGGATCAGGAAAAGTCCTAAAATAAAATCTAAATTCGAAATAATTAGCATATGACACATGGCATTGCAAATCAGTGGTGAAATGCAAAATTCCCTTAGATGGTGATGAGGTGATAAAAAAATTTTTTTTTTTGGTACCGGAGATCAAACTCGGGACCTCATGCTTGCGAGACAGGCAGTGGCACCACTGAGCTAAATCCCCAGCCCAAGGTGATAAAATTTTTGAAGAAAAATTATTAAACTGTATTTCATACTAAATATACATCTGAATTCTAGAAGCTGTACTATTTCGCTTTCACAGGTTTGTAATTCACCTTGAATTTCTAGACTGGATGTGAGACAGGTCTAATCACCACTTCTTACGCTTGGAAACTGTTATCCCAGACCATTTATTGAAGATTGCTGTTTCCCTGTTCTTATACAATGCCTCATTATTACAAATCAAACAGCCATATTTGCATAGGATTGATTCTAAACTTTGTTCCACTAGGCTCATTTTTAAGATTAACACCTGTAAGAAAGCGACTCATCACAAACCTTGGTCCTCTTAGCTCAATCAGTAAAGGCCCCGTCTTTTCTATGTGGAATTGATAGATGGGGTTATTTCTGTGAGTCTCCTGGAAATTTCCACATCCTCCAGCACTCTGACCACTCCACTTTCCATTG